AGCTAAAATCTACATTGCATTCTAAAATCGTACCTATTGCATACTAGATTTATTGGGCTTAAATCTATAAAAATCTACCGTGTCTGCAGCATGTCTGATCTGGAAGGATAAAATCTATACTATATTCATATAATCATACATCATTTAAGTAATCTAGCCACAACAAATCACCACAGATAAACACAGATATGTAATGTCTTTCTTATAAAACTTACAGCACACAAATATTTTCTAAATAGATTATTTTTGACTATCATAATGCTTTTTTGGTGTATAAACCTCCTAACAATCACTTTTCTTATCAAATTAAACACATCAACATATCACAACTGAACACTTTCCTCCTCAAGTATAAGGGGTTACCAGCTCTATGAAAAATATCCGAAAACATAGACATTTTTCTTAAGATACATCTGTACATAACTAACAACAACAGCAATTGTTCTATCTAGCTTCATCATGCCCTGCAATCTTTTCTTGCTCCAAGAAGTCATACCATTCTCTAATCTAAATTCATTTTCCTATCAACAAAAATCTTTAATACCATGATTTCTCCTCAATGCAGATAAATCTAACATCTTTCGCCAAGGCAAGACGGTATTACATTTAAAATGTACATCAATATTTTGATTACTGTAATAAAGTGTGACTGATAAGACCTCTAAATACATTTTGAAGTACAAATATGAGCTGAGTCGACAGACATGTTTATACTAACTGAGACAAAGTGACCCGAAATCAAGCTTACTGAGGTAGTCAACATAAATACAGGCAGTATTCTGACAATCAGACAGTTATAAGAAGTGAAAAGGACAAAAATTATCATCTGATGATATTTGTGTTTTAAGCGTATTTTTTCACTATTTGATGCCTTTATCAAACATATTGTACATTTAATATTAACAAGGACACAGGATACAGGATATTTATTTTATCCTCATTAATTTTCTTGATGTTCTAAAACAAAAACTGTCACAAGAATTTGGGACTCAAAACTGTTTTTGTTTTGAAGATCTTGTTCCGTGATATATATATATTAAGAAAACAATTCAACTGCAGTTTCCTCTAGGGCTATAACAATCCACTGATAATTACCAACATTCTATTAAACAGTATTTAGAAGATGACAAATTTACAGTAAAACCATACATCACAAACGATTGCTATTAAGGTCAAGGTTCAGTTTGGTACAAAGTTCACCTGTTCATAGAGAACTTGTTTCTGGGTTATCTTGAATGAATGTATAATGTAGCATTATGAAAAAAGACAAAATTAAACAAAGAAAAGAATGCTTAAAAAAAGAGATTCAGGTTTGAATAAGAGATTCTTGATAGATAGAAATAAATGGCTGCTTTTGTTCATCTATTTTGAAAGTCCATGCAAAATTGATCAGTACGGAATGGAGTTATCAGTAAAATGTGTAAATATGTTTCACTGATACAGTGTATTACTTCTAGTACTTTGAGACAATGTTACATCATATCAGTTTTAGATCTAGTAGAAATAGACACTACTGAAATCAACCTCTAAGCACAATTTGTTGGTCAAACTTTCAGTCCTTGCAAGTTTCTATCAGTATTTGTTTGGAACATTTACAAAGGTTTGGATGGAAATCGAAATTAATATAGTCAAAGCCAACCTCATCTGCCACTCTCCCTTAGTTCCTTAACAATTTAACTCTTGGACATGCCTTTCAACAATATCATTATATCTTTCAATCCCTGTAGACAAAAGACGCTACATGTAACTCTAAAATTTGGTTGAATTGTGTCTGGTAGTTTAAACAAGAAATAGCAGTAACAAACTTTTACTTCCAAAATCCAAGATGTCTGCCTGTCGGCCATCTTGAATTCGAATCAGCTGGACACATACCCTGGTATATTGGCTTAGTATACCAATCAAAAATATCTTATACAAGAAAATTTTACAGAGAAATCTTAAAAATTTTTGATTATTCGATCATAAAATAAAATAATGATTGTTATTTATGTTAAATACAATTGTAACTGCAGGTAAATAGTATACACCTAGTCATTCATAAAAACAAACAGTTTACAGCGACCAATTATAACCAATCACTGATCATGAAATCTCAATCAATTCCCAGGGCTATAGAAAACTTGCATTAAGGAAATATATTTTACACTGAGCTAAAGAATATGAAACACAGGACTGGTCCAGTATGTACATTAACCTGAGTATAGTCTCTATAATTGGATCACAACAGCAGTGTAATACAAAATAGTTCACCTTCATTTCATTTCTGCCATATTTCTCCTATGAATGAGAGGAAAAACATCAAGCTAGAGTAGAAAGCAAAACTTTGATGGCAGAAAAATAATATGATTAAAATGAGGATAGGAAGATAACAAAACTATCAATGATAACTTCTTTAAATAATTTTTGTTTATCACATAAGTTTAGGATATAGACTGATACATTCATATTAAAACAATGCAAAGTCTACAGCTACTATGCAAACAAGGGAGACAAAAAACATTTCTCTATGAAGGCATAACAATATCAGTATATATCGCTTGACTTCACCAAAACATATAAACAAAGTATTAAGGTAGACATATTTAAATCACAGCAGAGGTCATTATAATTGAATACCTGTATCATCCTAGTTAAAAATGATTACAATAAATAAACAATTGAAGATCTACAATATGATAAATATAACAAACAACCAATAAAGGCATATAACAACTACAATCCAACTAAAACTCAATAAATATGATAAAATGACATTCTGGTCTCTGGTCTCTAGCCACTTAAAACTTCCATCTCTACACAATATCCAAATTGTCGTTAAAAATGACAACTCTTTTGTCTCTTAAAAAGTACTAACTAATCAAACCTCTAGGAAGTTGTAACTAACAAAATAGCTGTTTCTTTGGATATACACAAATTACATAGGCTCATAAAGTGAATGCCATGGTAATAACTCTGAGTATAGTTGAAAAAATAAATATAGTCTATGCTCATCACCCTTTTCTCTCCTATAGAACAAAATACACAACCACTGCTTGATGTCTAATACCTAAAACTGTGTATTGGATACAGCATTTGAATGTTACTGAACTCTCAACCATAAAACCATCAAACATTTCTTCACCTAATATACATCACTAGTAACAAGCATTACTACTAAAACTACAAACTAACGTAAGTAATTTCATCTTGTCACTTGCTCACCTGAGCTAGTCTCTATGTTCTACAGACCATAAACACAGAATTGGTAATTTATTTGGCAATAAAAAAAATCTGCAACAATAAAAACGATCAATTACAATAGCACTTTTGGGTTAGAAGTGTACAAGTTTATTATTCTATAATCAAATTTAGAGACAAACTTTATCATTTATTTCAAACTTACACTTTGTGCTGAGTTTGAAAATTGCATACATATATACACATACAAAATAAATAAATGCTCTTTTCTGAGCTCTGATTCCAAATTTACAAAGTATCAAAGCTAGTATTAAAGCCCATACTTTTACACAAATACAAGCAACTTCCTTTTTAAAGAAATAAAACAATCAACTCTTAAATAATTTTGTCGGCTAGTTAGAAATAAATATATAAATTAGCATTTAGTGCAATGTGGTGTACATAGCAACATGTCACATAACAGGTGTGACCTTAATTAACAAACATACAACAGTCATGTAATGGAACACATTTTATAAAATAGAATACTTTCAATACACACAAAGCAAAAACAGCACCAACTCAACCTTTTGTTCCAGCACTTCAATGAATTATATACACTGGTGTTTTTACTGGCTCATCAGTGGTTTTGAGCCTACTGTGTTCTTAAATTACAGACTAGATATGTACCAGAAGATTTGATCCTGTTCTCAAAAATAAGATACAATTGCAAAATTTAATAATTATCAACAACTCTGAATTTTTTGGCATAACTTGATTTGGTTTTTGAAATTTAAGTGGTCTGAGAATATTTGCAGAAAGGTATCAAAAGCAGGAAAAATATCTTTAAGAGGTTTTCTAAGATGAAAGGGAATAATAAATATCTCATTAATTAAGACACCTCAGATTTCCTTGTATTTCATTTCAGTATACATTACTTTTCACACTGTACACGTGGTACTGTAATCATGTTAAATGATATATGTAGTCAGGTTCAACACTCCAGGTACATACCTACTTCAACACCATATTGTAACACCAACATATTTTGCTGGGCAATTGTCTACTGGAATTTGGCTATTCCTGACAACATTACAATGTCTTGACTTAAACAGATTTATACAGTCTACAGTAACATCAGTAACTGCAGCATACAAAACATTCACAATCACAAACACCATAGCCACAAGCTTTAAAAGAATATATTCATTCTTTATAAAATAAATAATATTGATAACTGATTTATAGTTTGCCTCCTTTGCATAATTCTATTGCTTTATACAACTCAATAGAATTTTCATTAATACTTCTAATGACAAAATAATATACAACCCACTTTGAGAACATTTAGTATAAGGGCCAATCTTACTTATTTCAACATCTCATATTTTGCATACTTGCAAAGTTAAGTTGTAACAGACGATTTACAACTTCAAAATCAGAAGTAATTTGGCTGGAAGATCAAACAAAGAAATTAAAACTACAGTATCACTAAACCTTCTTTTTAAAATTTAATCTTTCAGATCTGTATTTCAATATTGAAGATTGGAAATTTCAATTTTGAATAAAAGGAATGTCTCCCAAAAGAATTTATCAAAATATTTCTAATTATTTTCAGTGAAAACCAAAGCAGAAAGTTTTCAGTTTTACATTCAATGTAACAGCAGAGACTTGAAGATATCATATTGAATAAAAAGTACAAATCATCAAATTAACTAGAGAGTGCATAAATATAGACCAAACAAGCACAGTTTAACAGAAGAAATGATGTTATTCATCAATTTTGACACAAAATTAAAAGCTTAAGGCATGTCTTACTGCTGGAACAGTTAATGAAACTTTCCTCAGTCTTTTGCTTCGGTGGCGGTGGTGAGTTCTGTCATGGGTAATTTGGCTGTGAAGGTCTGTTGAAAGTGAAGAGGTAGAGATGGCATCCTCATGTCAATGCCAAGTTTACACAAGGTAGGATTGTCTTTGTCTGAAATCTGCAAGGCACACCAGGTGGCAGTACGAGCTCTCCTTGCCAGAGCTGTCAGTTCACTTATGCTGGCAGCAAGTGCCAATACATCTGAAATACAATTTAACATTTAAAAGTTAAAGGATTAAATGAAATAGTTCATAAACAACTGAAATCAGAGACCTCTTCAGCATGCTATATTTATCTGTTAAAATCCATTTTGAATCATCATCTAACTTTTGAAGAAAACACAGAACTACAGTCAAATTTATTAAACTGCTTTCAATCTTATAATTATAAGACCATAAAGAAAAAGGTTGATGTCTCTCCAATAACGGATGCTGATCAAACCACATCGATTCTCTTCCTCTCTCGACAAGTGAGCTAAATATCAAGGGATCTGAGAATCAAAGATCTGTTGTAAGTCAGTACCTTTATCATCCTGGTGTCGAGGCCCTCCATTTCGGTTCCTGTTGGTTGCATTAACTATCTCCTCTTTGCGACGTGCTTGAACCTTTCTGATTCCCTCCAGCCAACGTTCCAAGGCTGAGTGGATGTTTGGATGGAGACCAGCACCCATCAATCTTTCCATTTTGTCTATGAGTGTCAAAATCTAATCAAAACAATTTGTTATTCTTAGAATATATCCAAGACGGCATGAACAAGTTTGCTCCAAAATATTTCCAACATGTTTTGGGCCTTTGCTTTTGTTTCAGAATTTCAATCCTGAAAGTATCATTTCATCTCAAGTTAATTTTCCTCACCTTGAACTCACATAACTAGAAGACCAGATTTCATTTGAAGTATTTGTCAGAGGCAGCCAAACTGAACAACATACATTTGAACTAGCTTTGACCAAACATGAAACTAACTTCACTTAGATAATTCATAGTTTCCCAATGGTCCAGCTGACTTTGAGGTAATTAGGTTCCAATGCATGTCATTCAGTTTAGGGTTAACTTTCACCAACCTATAATAATGATCTGAGTAACACCTGGTTCCATATCATCAATTTACAAGACTCACATGGACACAATTAGGCACCAGTAGTATGATGTCAAATTATGTAGATTGTTTCATTGGTGAAACAAAGAAATGAAGATATTTTCCATTATAAATTATGACCTGACCTTTCAAGCGTTTGGACTCTTTAATGTACTGACCCTGGCATGCTCCTTGAAGGAGTCCACCACTAGTCTATCCACACGTGATGGGTTCGAAGGCAGGCGTGGCACTACAATATTGTTGGCACTGGAGATCCTCTTGCCTGGGTGTTGTCTGGCTAACTCTGCTTCTGTCTGTAGTCATGAAATACATCACATTCATTTTCTCACATAATATTTGTGATAAATATCTCATCCATGATACTTAATTATCATGAATACTAAAAGCATATGTGTTATAAAAGCAATGGTAGGGCTTATTTATAGAATAATAAGTACATTACTACAGTCATGATAATGCAAGTGTAACAGGTTTCAATAGAGTTGTCATCTGGCTTCACACTAAAAGGAATTTGATCTCAATCAATAGAGCAATGAAACAGTGAACTTTGGTGCAGTGGACCACTCCAAATGCAAGGAAACTGATAGGCTTTGTTAGAACTAAGAGCTACAGATCCAGGACTGATGTTACACAATATCTCTTGTTGAAATTAAACTCAACAGGAAGAGAACAGTAAGAAAGGAGTTTCCACAGCTAACATGAATTAGTGATTCAACTGATGGACTGAGCCGTGATGAAGCTGTAACTGGCAAAAAATGTAAAGTAAAAATAAAGTTGATACATGGTTATACTCCTATCTACTAATTGAACTGGCAATCACATTCTACTTGCCTCAGCTAGCGAACTAATCAATCAGTGGTAGTCAACATTACCTCAATGTTGGCTCTAACTCCAACACCATATCCCCTACAATCCTCTTCAATTGTACGAGTATTTTAAAGTGGATGAAAGATTTAACATTACAGCACCAACATATTGTGTAAAGCAAGAAGTCCTAAACAATTTTAAACTCAGGCAAGACTGACAATCTGCTGAGAAGATACTGACCTTTTTTCTTTCCCTTTCTGTATTTCTAAATTGTTCATAGCATTCTTCAAGTTTTAAGTGAAGTTCAATTGATGGTCCACTCCTCCTTTTTCAAAACAAACAGAAATTGTAGACTTAAAGTTGTTACAGAATAATATGATGGTAAATGTCTAGAATTAAACCCTGAAATATATTGACTGAAACCCACATTTTGATATTATGCATTCATCATTCCTGTGTACGCACCATGATCACTGTACATGACAATGTAAATGAAAGTGTATAATTTAATAAGTTTTCATTTTTTTCTCTCTTTTTTTCTATTTGTTTTTTCATTTTTTCCTTTACCAAATATTCAAATTCAATTAATCCCAAAAGTGATTTGATGTTTTTCACTTATTCAAAGTAAATTTATCTTTTATCTTCTTCAATCAAAACTATCCCCTATTTATATGGTAAAATATCAATGTTTCATCAATCACACAGTGAAAATGAAAAATCCATATCATCAGTCAAATGGTCACCTTATCAAGTTAAATATTTGGTATGCAAAGTAACTTAAGTAAATGGCCAATATTAAATGTATCGGAGATGTGAACAAAATGAAAAATTTTAAATTATTGGAACTTAATTCCAGGAAATCAGCATCAGACACTTAGTATTCATCATTTTCTCAGTATTATAAACAGGTTGTTACCATTGAAATTGAAAATACCTTGGTTGTTTGAATCCATGTATAAAGGGAGGTAATCCATAATAAGCAGGAACATCATAGATGGTTTCAGCTGGTAAGAATGCAGGTGTGAAAGAAGTATAGGGATCAACAGGATAATATTCCACCAGTTCTGCAGGATATGTTGGGTGTCCAGTGAGAAAGTGACCAGACACTAGACCTGGAGCAGGGACATAGTTCTGATGGTGGTGACTGGGATGATTCAAGGAAGGATGATAAAGTTCTGGTGGGCCCTTGGGTAAGAGTTGATTTGTAAGTCTATCATTTGGGGTTAAAACGGGGGAAATTCCTTTCATTGTACCCGTTGTGGGGTTGGCATATATTCCAACAGGCCTGATACGAGTATCCTCCCTAGTTCTCTGCCCCTTGTCCTGGGCCATTGCTGTGCTGCCCTTGCGTGATAGAGATTGTTTTGGATTGTGGTGCTGCTGGATAACAGAGTTGGCAACAGATGTTTGTAACTTACTTAGACATTGCAGTAGTTCCTCTGGGGAGACTTGAGCATTACCAAGAAATGCTTGGTTGTTTCCTGTTAGGGTACTCTTTGAGGATTGTTGGTTATGTACATCCACAGAATGGCCATTATCTACAGAGGGAGTGTTCTCAGTGTTGAAAACTGCTGACTGGTTCAGACTCATCTTTGTTGGCACATTCACTGTACAGTGTATATCAGCTGCATCACCTTTTTCTGATATGTTTCTATCAGACTTATTCCCCATCATCCTACCATGTGCAGCCAGCTGGTTATGTGAATGTTTGTGTTCACGGCTATCCGGAGCAAAAGCATTATTCCCTGATTTCCAATTACCCAGTACAATGTTTTCAGGACATTTTGGACTCAATTGATTGCTGTCTGTAATCCGAACGTTCTCCACAGACTGGTTTCTAAAGGATCCATCACTTCCTACAAAAATGTTGTTGGGAAAGAGCCCCGCTAGTTGGGCAGGAGAGTTCAATGTTCCCTGTTCACCCTGATTATTCTTATTCAAGGCGTTTTGCATTAGATAATTGATAGCATTGATGTTATGGTGTTTAGCTTCACTTAAGCTTTTATCACTGTGATTGTTTGTTGGTATGTGGTTCTCTGAAGGAAAACTTCCTCCAGTCTGATTGTGGTACCAGTAACTCCCTGAGATTCCATGAAGATCTACATCAAAGCTCACTTGACTGTTTTGCTTGATTAAGTTGACATTTTCAGCAGTATGTTTCATATTTCCACCACTGTTTACAGATGAAGTACTTCTGGATGAATAAGAACCAACTTTGGATGACCTATTAAAAGAATTGTTTCCATTGAAATCTGACAAATATTGATCATTTCCTACAAATGGTGATACATTAGAATTTGCCTCTTTCGAAAAATCTGCAGGCGTACACATATTCAGATTTATTCCTTGGTCAGCAGTATTCTGTTCTTTTGGAAATGGTGGGGCTCTGCTAGATGACCATGCATGTCTCTCCTGCATATTTGTTGGTCGACCAGAAAATCTTAAAGGCTCGGAATATCGTGATGTATTTCCTCCCATCCCATGATAATTAGCGTTAGGCACTGGATTGGCAAGAGAGCTAAGATTTGACTGAAGTGAGGAGGACTGGGTGTCTAGATTGTGTGGATTACTTTCTGCTCTGAGAGACCCTCCACCATCAGGCCAGCAGTCACTCATCAGATGAGACTGACCACTTTGGTGAAAACTGCACTGGCTGTGCTCCGAAGTTGATTGTCCAGCTGAGGAGATTTTTGTACTATGGAGTCCAGGGGATCTGAAATTTCAAAGACTTGACATCACATTTATCAGATAGGGAAAGCAACCAATATAATGTAACTCATAACAATTTACACATTAAAAGTATAGACTTCAAGAAATTGACAAACATTGTGTTTGCATTAAGAGCTATTTTAGCACTATGTATACTCTGTAATTTCAACAATTCTCTACATTTTGATTGTTTACTACAAACAATGTTCCTCAACGATGAATATTGTCAATCTCAATCTATATATAATATATAATGTTAAATAGGGAACTCACCTGTAATTAAATGCATAATTGTTGGTTTGCTGTCCTCTCAGGGAGCTCTCATCTTGGCTCCCATCAAAGGAGAAGAGGGAGCAGTTCCTGTCCTCATCAACAATCTCAGACACAATAGAGTCAAATTGGGAAAACTTATCATTGGGAGCCAAAGGTGGAGATAAGGGGTCGCTGAAACTATCTTGTTCAAAATACCCAGAGTCTACATGATTGCAGGGTATTCGGTTATGTGTGCTGCTGTCAGCAAAAAGGTAGTAGTTGTTACCATTCTCTGTGCTGTGAAGAGATACTTGGTCGGTCTTGGTCTTTTGTTGTGGTAAAAAGTTAAAGAACCCCACATTTTCATTTTGGTGATTATCCTACAAAAAATGGAAGTGAAATGTAATCAATTCAGTAATTATATAAATCTAAATGTTATAGGTCTGCAATGTTCAGAAACATATATCAGACAATTGAAAACAAATTGAACTCAAATAACTATTATATCAGTGAACAAATTGTACCTCCTGATTCCTATGTGACGAGAAATCAATCATGGTCAAGTTGAGGTTTGCTGTGGTCATGAACTCCTAGTTCTGAATTGAAAGCATGATTCTGAAACCAAATGAAAAGTTCAATAAGAGGATTTAACAGTTGCAATTGAAAAATTTCATTTAAACAATGGCGGATCAATTACTAAAAGGATCAAAGTTAAAAATACCATTTGCAAAACCTTAAGAATCAACTACTGGCTTCATATTTGACTCCAAATACTTCAATGCTGAAGAAGTGATCACAAGACAGATTATTTTGAATTTTATAAAGTTTTTCCATTTAAGAATAGGATGTTGCAGTTAGTCTTTCTTGATTTTGGTTGCATTAGTGTTCACTCTAGCATGTCTGCAAGTAACACACACAGAAGAAATCAATAGGGATACTCTGACTATGATTTAATCAGTAAAATTTGTAAAGACATATGAGGGCTGATTGATATGTTATAAGCCTCATATTTAAGGGTTTGACTTTTGATGGACATATTTCATAATTTTTCAACATAAACCCCTTCAGTATCTATACGCTTTTGCCAGTGATGTTTAAGGGCCTCAATTCACTTTTAAAGAAGTCCTTTTCTTGACTGTTCAGAAAGTCCTCCACTGCATGTATAACATCATAATCTGACTGAAAGAGAAGTATGAACTGTTGAATATGTAATGAGAGATTTGTGAATTTGTGAAAGTGTTTGATCATGTTTTCTTGTATATTCCAGAATGTCTATTTTACATGATCAAGTGATTAAACATTGAATGAACCCAGCGGTTTTGTCTTCATTGACACAATACCATCCTCTATGTTTAGAGTGCTACTTCTTTGACGTAAACTAATCAAATGACACTAGTCTTCGGGTAAGCTGCCTTTAATAGTCAGTGAATACTCAGTAGTAGAGTTGAAAAAAGACATCCCTGCTTAACTTCTTCAATACAAGGCTCACAACTTATCAATCAGCTCTCGTATACACATGCCAAATTGTATTTAGCTGGCATCTGCATGATCTCTGGGCAGACAAAATTTATAGACATCATAAATCAAATCAATGCAAAACCATGTAATAGTGCTCAAGGTAAGATGGTCTCCCTGAATCTCATAAAGATATTAATGAAACCGCAGTGAGCATGACTTAACACTGTTTATGAATTTTACCAGTTTTGATTTAGGAAATTTACACAGGGCTACGTCAGCTTGTGAATGATCCACAGTTTTTTTTTGTTTTGTTTTGTTCTAACCTGCTCAACAGAAAGTTACTTATTTTCATTCATTAAAGAAATTATGTCTTCAAATAATATACCTGGCCGTGTTTTTTTTATGTAATGATATGAAAGTCTACTTCAAAAAAGTTAGTCAAGATATATTTATAGAAAGATGCATTGTTAATATTAATAGTAATACACAGCTACCCAGCCTCCTTATATCCTGGCCTTCAATCAATAAGAATTTAGACCTACAACATGACAACTAACACTTGGTAATCTAGTAATTTACTGTAAACTGTCTGAAAATAAATCTGTCGACTATATTGCAACAACTCCCTTGATTAAATACTGAATTAGATAGAAAAGCATTCATATTTCAGCTGAAATGCTAGGAAAGGGTTGGTTGGGGAATTGTGTTATATTTTTTTCAAGCAAAGTTTATAGGGCAGCTTAGTAAGTAATGTACATGTTATGTAAACATAACACTTGCAAACAGCTGATTGTTGACTCAGCAGAAGACGGATACCAGACCGATAAAAAAATACAACGAGTAGATTATTCAAATTGAAGTACATATTGAAATAAAAAAATGTTAAAGTTTTTATATTTCGCTACGAAATTGTAAAATTTACACCCTAACAACACAGATACTGAAAACTGAAAGTGAGCATACGACCCTCATACGACATAACGCAGTAAAAGGCGAAACGGACAGGACCAACATTTTCTGGATAGACGTTTTCGTAATTTAGAAAAGAATGCCAGCTTGCAAATTGGATAAAATATGTTTTAAAAGTAAATATATTGATTATTTGCACAGTTTGCAAGTTGACTCACCGTTGATGTTTAGCTGTTCGCATTGTGTTTCTTCCGCTCTAATTTGACAGAGAGCGCCATTGGGTCATGTTGCCGTATATATGCTAATTAGCTGATGTCATTTCCTCCCTCCAAATTGAAGAGTCTCCCAGAAGGGCATAAACCCGGAACTTAAGATCTCCTTTAGATACATACAAGTTACAATGCAAATTTAAAAGCTTACGTGCATTTTAATCCTATGAGCTTACAATGTTTCATGTCAACTCGCATGATTCGTTGTAAATTTTACGAAATTTCCGAGCAAAACAGATACAAACACGTTTTTATTATTTCACGGCTGAAACACAATATTTGCACCATTTTTATTACGATTGTCTTCGCAAATATTTCTATTTGAGATAGTATTGTTTCTGGTAAATATGATAAGAAGATAAACTCAACTAAGGCATAGACTGGCTTTGGCGTTACACTCATTGGTTGTGATTTTCTTCTCTTTTTTAAACTATGGAAGAAATATCATCATTGTATTCACAAAAAAATTACTTCTCATATGATGAATCATGTTACACACAAAAGTAATATCTAGGTACAAGTTTTTTGAACAGTAGTTTTATTTGGATCGGTTGTGAACTAAGGAGGTTTGACTCAATTACAGAGGGCATGTACGTTCAAAGTCACCTTGGATATGTAATATTATGAGCCTGGTGTATGTACATGTAATAAGGTCACCTGTCTGCGTCACGGTCGGAGTATAGTAACATGTCCATCACAAGGCTTGAATATAAAAAAAATCGTGTCATATCGTAAATTAGGTCGAAAAAGACTACATCGGTTTATTATTTTACCGTAGTCCGGGACGTTATATAGGAAACGGTTCTCTGGAGGTCAGGACGATTTCACAAAAATTGCATTTGATTTGAAGGTATGTTTTGTAGAGTGTCCCTCAAAAGTTTTTTCTAGCATCTAATTACATTATAAAGTATGTTTTCACAATAGGAGTCATAACTATTTATTAGAGTCATGTGTTTTGATAAACGACATTTACAGTTTGATTTTTTTTTAGAAAAAAAAATCATTTTGACGAATTCTATTAGAATTGTGAAAGAACAAGAAAATTTACGTATTCCCTAACAAGTGTGCCGACAGAAATTCGACCCTAGTCTCCGGCGTGGTTGTCCATGTTCGGCTCTGTAACGCTGAAAGTTATCCCGTTGTTTGAGAAGTGAATTTGGGAAATGAGCCCCGTGCAGACACTTCTGTTGAGATCGACAATATTGCGAAATCAATATTACTGCCACAATTGACCGGTAAGGAGAGAGTTGGACGAGGTTGAGGGTAGGTATAGGGTTGAGACAGTTGGGTCTTCTGACTTTAACTTTATATGTGCAAATGAAAATATACCGTCTTGATTGCTATCGATCAGTTATTTAACCTATGACCTATAATGACCTTTATATTTAAAATGTTTAAATGAAAAGCATACATTATTGATTGATATTGATGACATACTTGACCTGTGATTACCTATATATTGATATTTGACACAACTTCGCATTATGCATTGTAATAATATGGGAAGGAAAAGTATTGAATATTGATGATAATAATTGTTTGTTTGACCTGTGACCTTTGTTGACCTATTTATTGACCCTTGGTATATATCTGTTTACGAAATCAAACAACTTTGAAAATTGATATTGGATGGGTGGTAATTAGAAAATTGACGCATGGTATATAGATAATCTTTATTTCCCCATTTTCGGGAGATAATAAACAGGTTAATATAGTGCAGTGTAGAATATTATGTAAGTGACATAGGATGGAGACAGGAATGATTTTACAATTCAATGCTTAGTCAGTTTATGATTTGTTTATTAATTTTCATGTTTTCGTGTACATTTTAGGTAACATTTTCGCTATTTATTTCATTCTTTTCGCACATAATACAAAAAAGTCTATCTGATAAGTCAACACATTTGATCGTTTACCAAGAACCAATTCCGTTTGTTTTCGTACCCATTTCCGCGAATTTCACAAAGTCGTGTACTTGAAGAAAGTTTAGAACTGTTTCTTGAATTAAATCCCTTTCGGTACAAACGTATATTCTATAGTAAAATGAATAGCAATGTCAGTGACGGTATAACCACAAAGTTTACAAACGACTGAAGAAGCTTCTGATATAAAGGAAAGTTGTATTAATTCAGACAATTAACATATTTCTTTTACATAACATTTAAAATTTTTCTCAAGGGATGTGTGAGATGTACAGAATATCCTTTCCGCCAGCGTCTTCATACATTTTTTCTCCTCATACGTCTCCATACATTGTGTCTCCTCGTACGTCTCCATACATTTTGTCTCCTCGTACGTCTCCATATATTTTGTCTCCTCGTACGTCTCCATACATTTTGTCTCTTCGTACGTCTCCATATATTTTGTCTCCTCGTACGTCTCCATACATTTTGTCTCCTCGTACGTGTCTAATATTTTGTCTCCTCGTACCTCTCCATACAATCGTCTCCTCGTTCGTCTCCATATATTTTGTCTGCTCGTACGTCTCCATACATTTTGTCTTCTCGTACGTCTGTATCACTTGTCTTACACGGTGTTCCACGGAGATTTATGTCGGATTTCGTCGTCAGGGTGATATAATCGAAAGAACGTTTCTATATTGTACTTTTTCATAATTGCATGTACGTGCGTTCGGTAGGAATCCTGGGGATCCGTTTTTGTTGGTAGTGTATTCTACAAATCTAGCAAAAAATACTTGCTTCTACATAAACAGATATTCACATATGCAGAGCTTATTCCGAAAGAGCAGTTTAGATAAATAAATGTCGCTGATGATCTCGTCTAGTGAAGAGCTTGTTGCGGCGTTCGGAGAGCGGGTATCAAAATCTTGTATTCATCGCGCTGTTTTATGTTGAAACGTTTTCCATGTTAGTTAGTGTAGTGTTTGAAAAGTTACTCTGCAATTCACAACCAAATAGAAGGGAAGGGGAGACTACCCCTTTCCGCCATACTGTAACACTGGCGAAGGGATTCATACCATTTTTGTGACTGACTCCGGTGACCAGGATGAAGCTGTTTAATTCCTTTCGATTCTCATAAACCTTAATTTTTCGTTAAATATACCAGCATACATTTTAGAGCTCTCAATTGGAACTTAATCTTGTCCGAGCGAAATGTTACATTTTCCATAGTTAAATCTTCCTACTTTCCGGACGAAAGAATACAGCTGCACTCTTGTTAAAGGTGTAGTTAAGTCTCCACCTAAATGAACAGTTCCACACAATGTCTGAGAGCCGTTGCAGCGGTGTATTACTTATGTGTGAATTGTCCTTTCAGTGTGCCAAGCTTCTTCTCCAGTTGTATAACCTTGTTCTATACCACATAGTTCGGGTAGATTACCAGTGTAGGTATCGTTCAGTCCTGAATTTTAAACGATCACGATTTCTGCCAATATCAGATAAGTGTATGAAAGTTTCTGTAATACTTAGTGAGAATACAAGTCCATCGTCACTCTCAGAGCCGACACTTTTCACTGCTCCTTGCGATCGAGATCGCAGTCAGGCGAATGCAATACTATTCATAATCGCTTACATTACATATCAGCCATATCACAGAAAAATACTTTGAATATTTCTTAATTTTCAGAGAATCGATTCACCTAAATATTACTCTCACCAAATCTCAAACCGACGATGCAACTTTCATTAAATGTAGCAAGTGCAGTAAATTAACCAAAGCAGATTATGTTGACAAATGTTTACGTGACGATGCATTTTGTTTACATGGATAGCTCAAACCAAGAGATCGGTCGACATGTAGGGCCAAATCGTAGTCTTTCTGTTTTAATTAGAATCTATTGGCTTCAGGTTGTCTGGAACTAAATTCAAAATTGGAAATAATAATAACTTGGCTGTCATGTAGGGATAAATAGAGGCTAGTGAGACCGCCCTTCACTTCGGTCACTGGACTCCGTACAGAACGCACTAGACCGCTGTCGCTAGGCCTAGGGGATTTTGGACGCTTAGGAACCCACAAACTCAATTAAAATTCGCCAGCAAGAAACCGAGGACTTTCTTCATTTGTTATCCCCACCACACAGCAACGTGTGGCTCCTTGGAACAGAGGATCACACATTTCTTAAAATTAATCAATAGATTAAAGTAAACAAATCTGGCCGCTGTACAATCAAGGGAGATAATCAAATTACCAATTAAAGTAAGTGTAATGCGAGGTATAAAAATATAATGCATAAACTGCTAATCACTTGACTCATCCATCACAGATAGATATTCACGAGTGTCAAGAGTAAATAAAATTAATATATATTTGCAGGAGATGCAACCCTGTTTGTTGTTACATTCTACTTATAAATCGGGTGGACAGTGTCTATCTCGAGTTGTCGCTTCGGAACCTGAAGGTAAGACTCAGAAATCATTTATCCACTTTTATTTTAGAGTGAATTATGAGGAATAGACAAAATCTTTGTTACAGCAGTCCGTTACAAAATATTGCAACAGATTTTTTAAAAACCTTTTCTCAATTGCATCTTCAGTATTTCTTTTGAACGCTGGTCGTCTTCATGACAAGACGTTGAGAAGTTATCCAATTCAAACTCTCACTTTGAACAAATTAACAGATCTTTGCTTGTCTCCTAGATACAATCTTGTTTTTAAGTGAAAAAAAACAACAACACAGGAATAAGTTACATGTATGTAGCACCAGTCTTTACTTATATATAACTTAACAACAATACAATCTGTATAGTAGGAGGTTTAAGAAACAACATACATTAATGTAAAAGGAGTGATTTGAAACATAGTAAAACCTATGTATATTGATTTTATATATGTAATAAGCTAGACTGCCATACCTGTAAACTTGTAAATATACAGAGAAAAAAATAGTTACACAACTAAGGCTTAGGGACGGGAGGACTTGAATCCCTGGAATAATCTATTGATACATAATTTGTAGTAATGATGTACAAATAAAATATTGCAGTAAACATAGAGCACCAATGTTCACAGAAAGGATAGACATGTAAATAAGTTTTATAAATAAATGTAGATATGAAGTACATGCTTTGGAATGGAGTTGTAGATCAAATACCACGTGACCAGTTCTTAGCGAATCAAAACTAGAACGTGCTTATAAATGATGTTAAGAGACAATAGTTTCCATCGAACTGAATTGAAAAATTGCCCACTCCCACAGTCGTTTTTGTTCTCTCAGTAGATGTGTGTACCGTAAAGATACCAGCCCATCGATCAGAGGTTGTTTGCATATAACGGAAATGCGAGCAAATTATGTTTCGTGGGCTTTAACAGGTCTCATATCACGCCACTTCTATGACTTGGACTTTCGTTCGACCAGGGACGTATATGACAGACATATACGTCCCTGGTTCGACAAGATGAATCTAAGTGATGTTATTCAAGTCACTGAATTCTAACTCTCAAAAAAATAAAACTTACACTGAAATATAGATTTATCATCTTTACATAAATCGAAGTAGAGGTTGTTCGAATTGTTTTGGTCCTCCCAGGAATACACAGTGAGAGTATCGTCCACAAAACTCTCCCCACAGTAGTGGAGTTCAATTCTGTGTAGACCTCTGATCAAATTCTCATCGAAATGTTTCAGGTCGCCTTTACGCGAGGAGTGATGGGCGGCGTCTACAACATACCTAGCGTATGAAGCCCAGTTTGTGTGACAATAGGAGTCCGTATCACTCCAGGCCACGCGACACTCATAGGAACTAGCTTCAGCTGGCCGCGCCATTTTGTTAAATGTCAGAGACACATATTCTTTTGCTGATTCTGCATATTTTTCCCGCCACCAGTCCGGAAGTGGTTTCGGTCTTCGTGAGGATTTATCGATGCTTACGACCTGTGTTACGCTTGAAGACAGCAAAACTTTTTCTGTAGAATCAAACATTTTTGTGATTGAGTTTAACGACGAGTTGCCAATGTATCCACCAATTACATGCATTCGGAGAGGGGCCTTTTTAATAGAAAAATCGTAAAGGTCTTTGTAGAAAATAATTTCTGACGATATCATAAATGTCATCCTATCACTTGTCATTTTAGAAAAATCCCGGAATGTTCTACCAGAGGAGTCCAGAGGGTGGGAATGAGCGAAGAATCTAGCTGTCCCCATTAGCCTCATCATCTGCCAAAGTTTAGGTTGACCTAAAAAATATGCAGATCCGGTAAAAGAATAAAGAAAATAACAAATTGTCCACACAATCATCATCAAATCTCAAATGCAATAATTCTAGGCCAATATATATACAAAACAAAGCCTTTACATGACGACTTCTGAAAAAAGCACAACGATAATATGACCAGGTGTTCCAAAAGAGTAAGCGTTTTCTGATTCATCGACGACACCCGCATTGTAAATTTTGGTCAATTCACAGAAATTGGACATTATATATGTGAAATAAAAGGTATTCTATTACAAATAGGTGATATTATATCGGATCCCTGCTACCTTCGTAGTATAATAACAATATATCACATATAGAAAGTCCAATACCCGTGGTCAAACTAAGTAAGTAATGCCAGGTTCATAATTGTTTAGCACTACACTTACAAATTAGACGGACACAAGGACACAATATCGGACATGTATGGTATCATTAGGCTGAATACAAGATGACAATAAAGAGTGGCCAGAAAACCATGGTGGAAGAAATTAACACATTTAATACAGAACCAAAATAAAGGCACTGAAACACGTAAGGAAGGTTGAGAGTGTCATCACTCGATAGACTGAATGACACAGTGTTAATAGTACCAAGGACGAAGTGTCGAAACTTAAATAAGGACGAAGTGTCAAAGCTATCACAAGGACGAATCAATTGTCAAAATACTTACAAGGACGAAGTGTCCAAATAACAGAGTATTAAGTTCTACTCTATCTGGGTATTGAGAAGAAGATTTTTAAAATTTCAGTCAATTTAACCCATTTTTGACCCACGATCATTATTTGAAGCTATAAGAAACCATACCGTTGATATCATAGTCGCCGGAGTTCATGCCCGGATGTTCTATTACAGCCTTCACAGCATCCTGGTCCTCCGAGATGAACGTGCAATCAAGGATATGACCAGACGCCAACTTCCGGATCTCCCTGGTGATTAGGAATAGATTTTACATATACACGTATACTGCGAGCATATCATATATTTCTGAAAGTAATACTGAAGCGAAATAATACGTTAAAAACATATGTGGGCTTATTAGCAAAATTCAACAGATGAAGACGAAAAAAACATCACAGCAATTTCATTGTTTTCAATATACTGTCCTACAAGTCATAGGAGTGTATACTCACTATCAGCTCAAATAATCTTTAATAAATTCGTCACTATCTTTACACTCTCAATCCGCCTGTTACTCAGGACGAAATAGCTGTACCTATGTGCCTGTGGTGAGATTACCTGTACACCTAAAATATTACATCCTTATACTAGCTTTTTAAAACTTAAAAACAAACCTCAATTTTTCGGTCCTAGCACTATCCATAGCTGTCGTACTAACGGTTTGTGTCTTTGACTAAAGTCTTGTGATGATGAGGTGACAAAATATGTCGTGTTGTACATGTGTTAGGTTGTCCTACCTATTAACCCCGAGATGAAATCATGCTTTGCGGTGTTGATGAAAATTTAGTTACACTATATTGTTCCGATATGACTGCATCTATGATTTGATTAACAAGAAAAGAAAAAGTGTTTTGCACTTGTTTCTTGAACCATACAATTGAATACCGGTTTTTGTTATCATCAGGTCCCAGTTGACCAATGGTTGTCCAGTGTTAACCAGTGGTTAATAGCGGAAAAACAGTGTTGCCACCAAGAAAACGGCAAATTGACCATCAAAAATATCAATCCTACCTGTCTCGACAAATCTACTGCTGTGAAAGGATTAGGATGTTCTAATTTTCTTTAATTTGTATTTTCACTAACCTCTGATTAACTCTAGCAACTTTGATTCAGACTGGTAACACACATTTAAATAAAGAGCGAACCGGTGTGGGTCTTGGTGTTAAATACAATCTTGGTCACTCAGCTGACGGAGCATGCTTCCACGCTGAATATCCGAGTTCGAAATTTGATCGGGACACACACACCTATATCAGGAAAAGAGAATCAAAGAACCAAAGAAGCACAGATTTAGACGATAAATACGCATGTATTATTATAAATTAAAAGTTCACTGAACAGAGTTATACATATAAGAATACAAATTGACTAATTGATTGTAACTTTGAGCGTTCGTATGATCAGCTTATGACATTACACACTTTCATTTCTTTCAATACGTGTTTGTTGATTTTTATCTACATTTAATTATTTTTTAAGGTAATTATATAATTTACAAAAATATCATTAATAACAGATACCATTTAAAATCAATGAATTGCATTCCAATTTGGTTGTTTTATAAAAAATAATGAGGGCGAACACCAGGTCCGGTTCCAGATGTTTATTAGGTTAAACCCTAAAGACCCTACAACATAACATACATAAAACACATAAATACGATCCCTTACAATACATTAAATATCACACGTAATATACATTACAGATAATATCACAGTGGTAATTATCTCAAAAGAGAGTTTAATTGTTCCACAATGTATATAGATACCTACTTATATTATATAAATACAAATATTTAGTACAACATAAAAAAAAGGAATATAGCGACACACTATAGCCACAGTACGTTACACGTTATTTAATAATTTAATAGAACATTATTTAATAAACAATATTTAATGTGAAAACCTACCCCAACAATGGGTCAAGGGTCCTAAAGTAACATAGGGCTCATTATGATCGTAGACAAATGACTGATATCATTGGGATCGTAGATGATTACTGTAATTAAAACAACGCATATATAAATAGTTACACAGTATACGGGTCATTGTATATTTACTACAAATATATAAAGCTACCCATTTCAAACCGACGGTAAGATCGGCAGTATTATTAGTGTATACAATACATGGATTTTGATAAATTAATAACATCATTACAAATGATGTTAAACAAGATATATAATACAATAATCGATGTTTCAAAGCAATATATAAAATATGACTTACAATTTACGGGACAAGGTGTTCATAATCTGGACGGAGGTTTCAATCGTCCGTAATGGTCAATGTCCCCTTTGTCCACTGAAAACCCGCCAAATACAGACAAAGACCAAAGAACGAAAACGAGACAATAACTGGACATACGTAGACACACTACGTCACACGGGCAAACTAAACATATAGACGCAACATATATACATACATGTATAACGATCACAGACGACGCGGAAATCCAAACGGCGCGACGCTAGACAACGGCGGTCAAAATTACCTAAAACTTAACCCTATTACATTAAGATAAGGCATTTTGATAATCACATGCATGTGATATACAACTTACTTAAAAACAGGCTGATTCAAAGGGTTATTGTCGACCTTGCAAAATATACAGGTAACTTAAATTTGACCCAATAATTCATTCTCTTATATGTAACATTTTTCTTTAATGGTGAAATTTCACACCAAGAAAAAATTTGTAAGTCATGGATTCCCCGCCACCAAGGTCTTGACCTTGGACCTTTGAATTAAAACATAACGATGTCAAAAGTTTACTCATAATTGATTGTTTCGTAAAGTATGACCCAAATTCATGAAAGAAGGAAGTTGCTAAGTGATTTAATCAGTTGATAATTTCATATATATAGCAAGGTTGACCTTTAGCATTGACCTTTAAACACAACGCTGTTTATACTCGTAATTAATTTTTGTATAATGTTTGACCAAAATTATGTCAATGAATGTAATTGCAAGGTGCTTACACAGTCAGTGATTGGGACGCGACGAGACAGAACCAATATTTTTCACAGACAAAATTCTTTGTATTCCGTCTGATATCTCGCAAGTGGTACATCGTTGATATTTTGATTCAATGCTTTTCGTATCCCACCGCTGCCACTACGGTACAAGTACTGGCATTCTCTACTACCCCAATCTCTCCACAGACAATATTCCGGATACGTATTACGTGTACATAAAATTACCCTGTCACACATTTAACAACAATCAGCGATGTTGCCGACTGTGCTTATAAACACTTGCTTGAAAAAGCGATTATTTTGCTATAGAGGCTGGTTATCAGCTCACAAACGTTTGTATTCAACAGATAAAAGGTATGTACATTGTAAGAGGAGAAGATCTTGACGTGTAAAGGCGTAGAAGCCAAACTGAGGTCAAGATGACCCGAGGGTTTAATGTAAGGTCCGCAGCATCGGCAGACTTCCGTGTTACATTTATGAATTGAACGTGAACTTAAAGGGACACTGATGGTTTCTCATTGTAAAAATTATTGTTTGCCTGTTGTGTTTTACTTGTTCTCCTTGTAATTTTTTGAATCTCCTTGTAAGCTAATCACCTTGTAAATACCTTTACCTAAATTTTGTTCTAATTACCACCAAACCTCTGAGCTTGAAAGTATTATCACCAAACCTCTACCTAAAGTACATACCACCAAACCTCTACCTAAAGTATATACCACCAAACCTCTACCTAAAGTACATACACCAAACCTCTACCTAAAGTATATACCACCAAACCTCTACCTAAAGTACATACACCAAACCTCTACCTAAAGTACATACCACCAAACCTCTACCTAAAGTACATACCACCAAACCTCTACCTAAAGTATATACCACCAAACCTCTACCTAAAGTACATACCACCAAACCTCTACCTAAAGTACATACACCAAACCTCTACCTAAAGTACATACCACCAAACCTCTACCTAAAGTACATACCACCAAACCTCTACCTAAAGTACATACCACCAAACCTCTACCTAAAGTACATACACCAAACCTCTACCTAAAGTACATACACCAAACCTCTACCACCAAACCTCTACCTAAAGTACACCAAACCTCTACCTAAAGTACATACCACCAAACCTCTACCTAAAGTACATACCACCAAACCTCTACCTAAAGTACATACCACCAAACCTCTACCTAAAGTACATACCACCAAACCTCTACCTAAAGTACATACCACCAAACCTCTACCTAAAGTACATACACCAAACCTCTACCTAAAGTACATACACCAAACCTCTACCTAAAGTATATACACCAAACCTCTACCTAAAGTACATACACCAAACCTCTACCTAAAGTACATACCACCAAACCTCTACCTAAAGTACATACCACCAAACCTCTACCTAAAGTACATACACCAAACCTCTACCTAAAGTACATACACCAAACCTCTACCTAAAGTACATACACCAAACCTCTACCTAAAGTACATACACCAAACCTCTACCTAAAGTATATACCACCAAACCTCTACCTAAAGTATATACACCAGACCTCTACCTAAAGTATATACACCAGACCTCTACCTAAAGTACATACCACCAAACCTCTACCTAAAGTACATACACCAAACCTCTACCTAAAGTACATACCACCAAACCTCTACCTAAAGTACATACACCAAACCTCTACCTAAAGTACATACACCAAACCTCTACCTAAAGTACATACACCAAACCTCTACCTAAAGTACATACCACCAAACCTCTACCTAAAGTACATACCACCAAACCTCTACCTAAAGTACATACCACCAAACCTCTACCTAAAGTATATACCACCAAACCTCTACCTAAAGTACATACCACCAAACCTCTACCTAAAGTACATACCACCAAACCTCTACCTAAAGTACATACCACCAAACCTCTACCTAAAGTACATACACCAAACCTCTACCTAAAGTACATACACCAAACCTCTACCTAAAGTACATACACCAAACCTCTACCTAAAGTACATACCACCAAACCTCTACCTAAAGTACATACCACCAAACCTCTACCTAAAGTACATACCACCAAACCTCTACCTAAAGTACATACCACCAAACCTCTACCTAAAGTACATACCACCAAACCTCTACCTAACGTACATACACCAAACCTCTACCTAAAGTACATACACCAAACCTCTACCTAAAGTACATACCACCAAACCTCTACCTAAAGTACATACCACCAAACCTCTACCTAAAGTACATACCACCAAACCTCTACCTAAAGTACATACCACCAAACCTCTACCTAAAGTACATACCACCAAACCTCTACCTAAAGTACATACCACCAAACCTCTACCTAAAGTACATACCACCAAACCTCTACCTAAAGTACATACCAACAAACCTCTACCTAAACCACCAAACCTCTACCTAAAGTACATACCACCAAACCTCTACCTAAAGTACATACCACCAAACCTCTACCTAAAGTACATACACCAAACCTCTACCTAAAGTACATACCACCAAACCTCTACCTAAAGTACATACCACCAAACCTCTACCTAAAGTACATACCACCAAACCTCTACCTAAAGTACATACCACCAAACCTCTACCTAAAGTACATACCACCAAACCTCTACCTAAAGTACACACCACCAAACCTCTACCTAAAGTACATACTACCAAACCTCTACCTAAAGTACATACCCACAAACCTCTACCTAAAGTACATACCACCAAACCTCTACCTAAAGTACATACCACCAAACCTCTACCTAAAGTACATACCACCAAACCTCTACCTAAAGTACATACCACCAAACCTCTACCTAAAGTACATACACCAAACCTCTACCTAAACTAAATACCACCAAACCTCTACCTAAAGTACATACCACCAAACCTCTACCTAAAGTACATACCACCAAACCTCTACCTAAAGTACATACCACCAAACCTCTACCTAAAGTACATACCACCAAACCTCTACCTAAAGTACATACACCAAACCTCTACCTAAAGTACATACACCAAACCTCTACCTAAAGTACATACCACCAAACCTCTACCTAAAGTACATACACCAAACCTCTACCTAAAGTACATACCACCAAACCTCTACCTAAAGTACACACCACCAAACCTTTACATAAAGTACATACACCAAACCTCTACCTAAAGTACATACCACCAAACCTCTACCTAAAGTACATACCACCAAACCTCTACCTAAAGTACATACACCAAACCTCTACCTAAAGTACATACACCAAACCTCTACCTAAAGTACATACCACCAAACCTCTACCTAAAGTACATACCACCAAACCTCTACCTAAAGTACATACCACCAAACCTCTACCTAAAGTACAAACCACCAAACCTCTACCTAAAGTACATACCACAAACCTCTACCTAAAGTACATACCACCAAACCTCTACCTAACGTACATACACCAAACCTCTACCTAAAGTACACACCACCAAACCTTTACCTAAAGTACATACACCAAACCTCTACCTAAAGTACATACCACCAAACCTCTACCTAAAGTATATACACCAGACCTCTACCTAAAGTATATACACCAGACCTCTACCTAACGTACATACCACCAAACCTCTACCTAAAGTACACACCACCAAACCTTTACCTAAAGTACACACCACCAAACCTCTACCTAAAGTACATACCACCAAACCTCTACCTAAAGTACATACCACCAAACCTCTACCTAAAGTACATACACCAAACCTCTACCTAAAGTACATACCACCAAACCTCTACCTAAAGTACATACCACCAAACCTCTACCTAAAGTACATACACCAAACCTCTACCTAAAGTACATACCACCAAACCTCTACCTAAAGTACATACCACCAAACCTCTACCTAAAGTACATACCACCAAACCTCTACCTAAAGTACATACCACCAAACCTCTACCTAAAGTACATACCACCAAACCTCTACCTAAAGTACATACCACCAAACCTCTACCTAAAGTACATACACCAAACCTCTACCTAAAGTACATACACCAAACCTCTACCTAAAGTACATACACCAAACCTCTACCTAAAGTACATACCACCAAACCTCTACCTAAAGTACATACCACCAAACCTCTACTACCACCAAAAGTACATACACCAAGGCTTTACCTAAACTACCACCTCGATCAAGTACATACCAGCTGTTGTCAAACATCCGGGTCTCTCGTACGCCGACTACGACTCTAATGGTATGGATTATTTTCTTAAATATACATTATTGTAATATATAATGCAGCTCACAAATTTAAATTCCTGTTCTAGCTACACAGGAACCATCACTCTCTTTAGCATAATGTAGGAGTTATTACCCTTTGTTATTTTTTTTTTGTTTATACTTAGATGTTGTCCCATTCGGGGAGCATAACCCGTCTCTGACAGCCCTTGTTTGTCAGATTGGTGTAGACCATCGGGGTAATATTCACTTGTTTCACTGAGATCAGATTTATAAACGTGCTGGTATGTTCCTCTTGTCTTCCTTGATTGTAGGTCAGCCGATGATTTGGATGATGATGAAGTTGTTGGAGACCGCGAGGTTGTTTTCTCATCACGTGCCTTTAGATGATTCCGGAGGGACGTTCTGGGACTATGAACAAGTAACAAGGGATTGTCTAATCTTTCTAGTCACTTCGGAGTTCGTTCTTAGTAAGGAAATTTACAAACCATCTCAGATTACACCCTGGATGAGGACCAGTATCAAAGGAGGTTATGTAGGAAAATCGTCATTGAATTCCTCAACAGAAATGAGATCCGAAAATGGTGACAAATTCTTGGCTTCCAATATCAATCATGTAGTGTGCGTGGACAAGCAAAGTAGACGACCGATGTCTTTCCCGTTGTGGTGGCGGGAAAAATATTCAGAATCGGGTAAAAAACATCAACCATTAAATTTAAAAAGGTTTGACAAACCTGACGGAGCGAGTGTCTATAATACCAATATAGCGTGGAGCGACACTGATGCCAATTTACACACAAACTGGACATCATACGCACGGTTCGCAGTGGATGCTGCCCATCATTGTCATCAAAATGGCGCTTTGGAGAATTTCGAGGATAACTTTTCAAATGGCATTCATAAAGTTCAAATCTATTTCTACGGAGAAAGCGTGCAGGGCGACAAACTGACCGTACACACGTGGCAGGATAAAAGTGACCACCGTATATTAATGATGGATATATACAACAAGGGAAAATCTATTTGTCAAATTAAACTTTTCTTTCACTAAAATTTGTTTGTTGAAATTACGAATACTGCTTGTTCTGTAGGGTTTATCATTGGGTCTTGGACTAATTTACGGTTTGTGCGAAATTACATCTTCGGTTATTTCAGCTGTAAAAATTAGACAAATCTAGTCTTATCAAAAGTAGTATTTCAAACAAGTGATGTACACACATAGATGGATATTTAAAAACAAACATTGTTTTGCCCTTTTTCAAATTGCTGATAGTGTTTGCAGATGTAGGTATTTAAGTCAACATTAACAAGGATATTACCTAACCAGCACAATTAGTCTGCCGCTTAATTCGACGTATATATAGATATATACATATTAGAATATATTTATATATATATATATATATACACACATATTAGAATATATATATATTTATATATACATGTTAGAATAACTTAAAACAACACGTCGAATGAAGCAGTAGCGTTTTCATGCCTGAATCTTCATGGTTCTTACTAAATTGCCTAGATACAAATACGTCACAGACAGTGTATCTAGGCAATCTATTAAGAACCATGAAGATTCAGGAATGAAAGCGCTAATGCTTAATTCGACGTGTTGTTTAAGTTATTCTAATATATTTCACCAGACACTGAGAATTCAACTTTATATTTGAATATATTGAATTAATATACTATTGAACATAACCGAACATTACATTCAATGTCATAGTTTTAAAAATTCGATAGAAATTTGTTTTAGTATCGAGATTAATTAATTATCTTTTCCACATTTAAAAGACAACGAAAACAATAATTCTCGTCATACCAAAAATTATTTTAAATCATATTGATGGTTGAATATTTTTTACAATTTAATACCCCCAAGTCAATCGGTGCTGTGTTTTAGCTGGTTTTACTTTTGATTTTCCGGATCTATCGTTAAACAAGAGGTAGATATTACGTTTCAAGGGATGAACTATTGCCTTATCTCCTTAATCTTTACAAACCTCAAGAGACATTTTGATTTGGGTAGATTTTTGATATAGGCACTATCTATCAACCCAAAAACCAAAAATATTAAGTTCTGTTGATAACGGTTATTGTTTGAAAAAAATGACTCAATTAAAGAACAGGTTTGGCCTTTCTCAAATAGCATATGAAGGGCTCCACCTCTGTCACTAATTCTGCTCTTTAATTTTGATATTTGCATTGCCCGATCTAGTTTTTTTTATAAGAAATAAGATATTTTAATGAATGATAGTGATACTTAAAAAAAGAGTCTTATTATCATCAAGATTTCGGAAAACAAGCTGTGAAGCTGATGTTAATTCATAAAACATACATGCTGAGTTTGAATTTTTTAAAATCAAAAGAGTTTATCGCTCCGGTTATCTTTTACTTGTATATAAACTTACCCTGTCACACAAATTCCGGATATTTTTAACGTGTACATAAAATTACCCTATCACACACTTCATAACAAACAGATATGTTGCCGGCAGTGTGGAGAAGCACGAGATTGACGAAGCGATTCCTTTGTAATAATGGCTGGTTATCAGCTCACAAACTATTTTATTCAACAGATAATAACGAAAAGATCAGGTAAGTACATCGTCTGTTTGTAAGATGTATCTGTGTTGTGGTATAATTTATAATGTCACGATGACCTGAGTCGGCATGAACGGGGTCACCAAATTCCGGAGATGAATCTCCGTCCACGAACTCGGCCGACAACGACTTAAATATGCAAGAACACGTAATAATGGATTCATGCATGTCATTTATTGATATATTGTAATGTTGCTTAAGTACTGTTTTGTCTTCGAGATAAAAGTGTTGGCCCAAAATATTTCAATAAATCTAAAATTTCATGTCAAATGCAGTCAGGAATATATTATATATGAAAAATGACGAGACTGATCCATTGTCAATAGTCCAATGACTAATCATGTATTATATTTATATGTCTGATCAGGGACGTATGATACAGTCTGTATTAAACGTTCCTGGTCTAATGTATGATGATCACATATGTAGTCGATATTTTATCCAGTGAATCCGCCTATGTTACTTCAGTTTTGTGTGTCACTGGTATAATATGCCCTGGGGTTTTTCATTGGCTGCGCCATGCAGAAAAAGGCAATGACGTCATATCATGGACAATGACGTAATGTGATGAATTGGGAATGATATACCAAAATCTCGGCCTCTGTTTGATTTTTTGAACTGTTAAAATGTTATTTTTATGAGATATGTATTCAAAATGTTTTTTTTAAGTTTCAATACACAACCTTTTTTAAGAAAAAAGTAATATTGACTTGACATTACGTGACAAGGCACTTCATTGTATTCGCAGCACATGTACTTTGCCTTATTTTAAAATTTTAACCATAATTAATTATAAGCTTCAAAACAATAATATTTCCTTGTCACAGAATCAAGAATGATTCAGTAACTTCCTGTAGACAGAGATCAAAACAGTAGAACTGGTTCATACGAGTAATACATAGATGGAAGTGTTGGACGCTGTACACCGTTTATAAGGTGTGTCTTTTACAATACCAGATAATTATTTAATGCTTACACGTATCATAACATAACACAATTATTCATTCTACAGGCCTACATCAGGACAAGCGGACAATATATAATTCTAATAGACAGTAACTCAACTTTCACATTGACTTTTTATTTCGAAAGACGGAAATATGTTCCGATACTTTAATAAAAAATTAGATGCCACTTTTCTCTTAATATCTTGGATTACAGGAATTCCAATATTTTGTACAATGTTTTATGTTAATCTCAGGTAACTGTTTTGACTTCAAATAGAAGCTCCTTAGTAACATAATATAGTACTTTTGTATATATAGTATATAGCCCTACTGTGATATAAGTATACCTGTATATCTTAGATGTTGAAGAAATCAAATGTGTGATTTTTTAAAAAGATTTTCAAGGTCTTTTGTTGAAATGTGAGAATGTTCAATCAAGCGTGTGTTTTTAGCGTTAGTTCATCTGACTCTTAAAAGGTAAAATGTCATTCTAAACAGACAATTGGTCATCTTTAACATGTACGAGAGAATCCTTTCCCAAGATGTATTGTTTGATTATATACTGGTTCATAGTTGATATGGAAATGTCTTCTCTTGCTACTTAGCTATCTAAGGGTGACGGCTGTGATTTTTGTACTACGAACATTCCAGTTGTTGACTAACATATAAGTCGCTTATCTTTATTATCTATATACTTCGTTTATAATCCTATATTCAGGATTTGAATCTTAAGATAGCACTTTATCCAGGTGAAATGAGTAGATTTATATTGCCAAACCACATGCTTTCTGAGAGATGGATGAGGATTATGTTCAGTTTGACCGTTGTTGTCGATTTCATGATGTGACGTCACGATCGGCATTCCTAATGTGCAGTTAATATATTTAATGGTTTCGTTAGTTTCTATCGTGGTTCTCACATAAAGAACATGATATAACCTGAATTTCAATTCACATCTCAGCTTCAGTCCTAATTAATCGTTTATAGTAGGAATTATGGTCCAACGCGTTGGTTATCAGTTTTTTGTTGATTTGTTTTATTATCATTTTTTTATGAAAAAAAAAGGAGGGAATGCAATAATATATCTCAACCTCTAATTTGGAAGTTTCTGTTCAAAACTGCGCATGGCAGTAACTTTGCTAAGCAAAGAAGGCTCTATGTATCTCCGATATGCATCGCTTTTCCAAAAGCCTATGTCCTGGATCACTTCGCCTGGTAAACCAGCATGGAATGCCCATGTTGCACCTCCCCTACGAAACCAATGTCCTGTCAATTTGGATTGATACCCTGCTCCCATAAGTATAGCGTTCAAAAAAGTTAAAAACCTGTCATGGGACAAAGCTTTTAAAACATTTTCACAAAGCAATGGGGATTGTCCGTTTGAACCTAGCAGTACATGTAAACTAAGGAGACGAAATAAGGCTGAGGCTGGGCAGAGAGGATGACCAGTGATAATCGGGATGAAGACATGTAACCTTTTCTCACGAAACTGGATTGTTTTTGTGTAATCAAATGATATAATATAGTCCATGTCCTTATTTGTGACTTGGAAAATGCGTAAAACTGGAACATTTGGATCACGCATAAGAAAATTTCCTGGTCTCAGCATCCCATAAAAACCGATCAAACATGCACACCATACCGATAAATCAAAAGGACGGAATAAATTCAAATGCTTCTTGATACAAAGCAACATATCTGGAGTCAAGAGAGGTGCACCAGTTTGTGCATCCCCTAAGGCTCTTTTCACACCATGTAGCAAATGTTCGACATGCCAACAGTCTTTCACTGGGTCCTTGACGCCACAAGATTTATGAAGATGTTTTACAATCACTAAATAATTCTCAATTGTCCAATAACTGAAACCTTTCACATGCGCTAGAAAGGCAATGTAACTAGAAATACCATCCTCTGATATTGGTACCGCAGACAATGACATTTGCTTACAAAAAGTCAGATAGCACTTTAACTGCGACCTATAAACCCGCTTTGTACTCTCTGCCCAACCTTGTATTATGAAACTATCCACAGCCTTTTCTAGGGTGTTTGCGTCCTGACAACCACCTGAAATAAACAAAATCATAAGACATATGACATAATAGATCAAAAATGGTAAAGTGATCATACATATATTGACAAAAAGGCAGTAGTGTATAAACGTCACTCAATCTGTGTTCTTCATGTAATCTAGATATACTGTCTGCGATTAAATTCCCTTCCCGGGAATATGTATTGCAAAAACAGAAAAATTACAAAAGGCTTGCATGAAAAATAGAAATCTTACATACGTCATGATAGTAGGGTTTTTGCTCGACATCTTATTAATTACACTTTTGGCTGTGACATTATCAGTGTAAATAATTACTTTCTTATTTTGCAGAAAAGCAGACCACCTAAACAATGCCAACACAATCATAATGGTTTCTTTACAGTTAATATGAAGAGGAGAAATGTCCGGCATATCAATTGACCAATTAATGTACATATAGTCTCCTGAGAAGTAAGCACCTCCCCCTTCACAACAGGCATCACACTGAATATTAGTCACAGGTTTATCATCTAAGATTTTAGTTTTGCCATTAAACATTTTTATAAATACAAGCCACCATTTGAGGTCAGCAAAAAAATTGTCGTTCAACAACACTTTGTCTGAATAAGAAACTAATGAGTTTTTTTAAGTCAAGCATACGGCGTAAAAAGGATCGACCCCCTTGAATAACTTGTGATGTCCAGTTTAGACTGCCAATCAATGATTCTAATTGTCTCTTTGTAGCACGCCGCTTCTTGTTAAATGTTTCCAGTAATGAATGAAAGACTGCAAGTTTGTCTTCTGGTAAAGAGAGTGTCATATCAATGGTATTAATTAATACACCAAGGAAAACTAGACTTTGAGTAGGACCTACAATTTTGCTATAATTAATATGAAAACCAAGCAAACGCAGTAAACCGAGTAATTTATCTAGAGAGCGTCTACACCTCTCATAAGACTTGTCAATAATCAAAAAATCATCTAGGTATGCAATAACGATGACACCATGAAGTTTTATAACCCTACATACTGCACTTGACAAAGCCTGAAACATCCTAGGTGATTTTGAGGCACCAAAAGGGAGCTTTGTGTCATAAAAATATGTGAACTCCGAATCCCCATCAAATTTCCAGTGTAAGCCTGTAAGTTTATAATTGGATTTATGAATACGCACACTTCGATATGCATTTTGCACAAATAATCGTTAGGCTGAATAAGCTTGCAAGCGTTACGAAGATCCATATCTGTACAAGACTTTTCATTCACAAAATTATTGATACAAAATTTTGTGGGCATACTCGCGTCATGAATAAGGCGAACAGAGTTATTTCCCTTTGGAACGCACTAGTAATTAAGGGCTTTATTTTGGTTATAATATAGTTTCCATTCAAGATTTCAGACTTGATAACATTTTCAACTTGTGTTTTGTTTGATAGTGCAGATCGATAATTGTCACAACACACTGGCACGTTGAATTCCGGAAAATAATCCACAATAGAAAAGCCATCTCGAATGCCATTTATTAGAAAATGAAATTCTGGGTCACTGCAAGGTAATACTGAATCCCAAGCTTGTAAATTCAGACCATATGTACGCTTGGGTTGAACACTACTTAAAAATACTACTTCGTCAAATTTGGTGTGTTTACATTCTCCTTTTTTGAATGCTCAACTGCCTTATGCTCACGTGAAAAATAAATAGCACAATTATGTGCCATGCGACAGCGCTGAAAATCACAAACTCCAGCATTGTATTTCCGACATATTTCACGTCCATCAGGCATCAATGGACCACGCCCCTTAACTTGTGATTTCCCACTGTCCTTGTTTTGAGGTTTTGTCATTGAATTCAATGCTCTCATCGTGATACTATTTGACTTTGGTACAAGATGGAAATCCCGGAGATCCTTCTTGGGCTCACCCCACTTGAAACCTTCCTTAGCTTTAGAATCACGGTATTCCTTATCATATAGTAAGACGCTTTGCCATAAATGATTTGATGCCAAACGAAAAATGCTCTGGGTAAAGCTAACATAACCGTCAACTTCTTGCAGAGCTAAGTCCCCTGTACGTAGGAGATCTTTCATGATACCCAAACTTGCGTATCCCCACTGTTCAATGGAAACTTGACTTAAAGGGGTTTTCTTTTTGTCAAACTGTAGTTTTGCCCCACTGCCAATATCAATTACACACCCCTCATCTTGGATAGAATCCACTGACGTGAGAAACAGATGGTCAACAATATTTTTGGCTTTCTTATTAACACTACATGTACCTGGCTCAATATGTCTGGAAGGGGCACTCTTCGGTTGAAGCTCCAAAGACAGCGCATGGGATAAGTCAGCTTGGCGCTTGTCAAGTCTGGCTTTAGCTAACTGTAATTCCAAATCATCACATTGGGCCTGAAGCCTAGTTATCTCAGTCTGTAATCTATCCTTGCTGGTGCGTATTGGAACATCAGGCTGGGTTTGGGTGTCTCGTCGGAATGAGGCCGAACATGACTTTGGGACAGTAGGCCTATGTTTTGTAATCTTTAGTTTTTGGCAAAAGCAAATTTAAGCATGTGGCCTAGCTGCGGCCATGATGGCACTACTAAACGCTAAAAACGGATCCGGATGGGGCTCACAAAAATTCCGTAAAAATGAATTTACAAAATTCTACCATTCATATTAATAAAATAATGTATTTAGGGTTTCGTCTTTTGTCTTGTGAAATGAAAAGCATACAAAGTCATCTGATTATATATTTTAGGTCTGTCCGTAGAGATGCTTTAATGTCGCTGAACTACCACCTCGATCACGTGGACAACGATGTACCGGAAGCTGTCGTCAAACATCCGGGTCTTTCCTACGCCGACTACGATTCTAATGGTACAAGTTAAACATGAAATGTGTGCTGTTTAGTTTGGTCTTGAATTGTGACTACACAAATACTTTCTTTTCGTTAAAGTGACACGGGACACAAACCCAATCAACCCCCATCAACCCCCTTCCATCCAATCATAAACAGTTGATATCCTCTTTTGATTGAAGGTCGGAGGGTATTATCTGCCATAGACATACATGTAAGTGGGATGTTACCGTACATACGCACGCCTTCTTCTCTCGTTAAGGTACGGCGTGGGTCTTTTTGTTTTATTTTAGGCATTAATACTGATGGCCTCTAGATGTGTAAACAATTTGTTTTATAATTTGGCGATATGGCCGCCATTTTCTTAGCGCATCGACGTGAAAAGGATTACTACAGGACCATAAAAAATGACATTTTCTCCAAAATGTCTGCAAAATGGAGGCTTCTATTAGTTCAAAATATGGATATTGTCAGATCTTAATGAAATTTCGTATGTAAGTTTAGTATGCCATCTGAAACTCCAAGAAGGCGTCCGTTTTCTGATTGGACAAAATGGTCAATCAGGGGTTTAGTCGAAAATTTTCATTTATGCACAGGTAGTTATTTGTCAGTGTTCACACCGAACGTCTTTGTCTATGGTGAAGTACATAGATAAGCATCATTCACGACTGACAGGGTAGTTTGTGGGACTTATTTGGCGGGTCTCCTTACAGTTAATACTTGCTTTATAATGTTTAATACTTGGTTTGTTATGTTTTGATGTAATTTTTGCGCTTCAGAATTAACGTCAAGTACAGGTACTTCTCGAATTTACAAACCCAGATTATGTGATCAAGAAAACTAGTGTCATTCTGGAAAAAAAGTTGTATAGATTTTAATGATCTTGTTTATTGTAGGTCAGCCGAAGATTTGGATGATAATGAAAATTTTGGAATCTGTTAGGTTTTTCGCCCATCACGTGCCATTAGACAGTACCGGAAGGACGTTCAGGGACTATGAACAAGTAACAAGGGATTGTCTAATCTTTCTTGTCACTTCGGAGTTCGTTCTTAGTAAGGAAATTTACAAACCATCCCAACTCACAACCTGGATGAGGACCAGTATCAAAGGAGGTTATGTAGGAAAATCGTCATTGAATTCCTTAACAGAAATGAGATCCGAAAATGGTGAAAAATTCTTGGCTTCCAATATCAATCATGTGGTGTGCGTGGGCAAGCAAAGTAGACGACCGATGTCTTTCCCGTTGTGGTGGCGGGAAAAATATTCAGAATCGGGTAAAAAACATCAACCATTAAATTTAAAAAGGTTTGACAAACCTGACGGAGCGAGTGTTTATAATACCAATATAGCGTGGAGCGACACTGATGCCAATTTACACACAAACTGGACGTCATACGCACGGTTCGCAGTGGATGCTGCCCATCATTGTCATCAAAATGGCGCTTTGGAGAATTTCGAGGATAACTTTTCAAATGGCATTCATAAAGTTCAAATCTATTTCTACGGAGAAAGCGTGCAGGGCGACAAACTGACCGTACACACGTGGCAGGATAAAAGTGACCACCGTATATTAATGATGGATATATACAACAAGGAAAAATCTATATGTCAAATTAAACTGTTCTTTCACTAAACACTATCAATATTGTTTAAACAGTAATATATTATATAGTCAAGTTTATGTTGATATTCAACAAAACTACAATATAGTATTAAATATTTTAACAGGCATAAATTCTAGCAGTTTTTGTAAAACTATGTTTGTGATGAGTTATAATTTGTTGACAAAAAATAGCAAAATATACACAGATATAGGTATTTGTCTGTTACTATACCTGAGATTTCGCCTATGTATGTTCCAAGTCTCGCGGTCCCTAATACACTGTAGATGTCAACAACGAGATAATACCGGCATGTTAAGAGAATCGAAATTCAAACTCAAATGCGACAAAACTAAGATAAAAAATTGGTCAAAAGAAAGATTTATAGAAGAACCCTAAGAGTACAAGGAGAATAAGACCAGGTATTCCCTAGAAGGACAAACATTGTCTTCTTCAATGACCACACTTGAAAATGACGCGTTGTTAGAGGAGAGAAATGTTAACACTAACGAAACCACCAAGTTTACCTACGTTTTGCATTGAAATAGAATATCTTCAAATCATGTCATGATAATGACGATAAAACTGACCGGTAATTTTCATCAACCTGCATATAATGATATATTTCTCTGGAGTCTTTTATCTTAAAACTAAAGTGACATGAAAATACTATAGTTTGGGGAAGCAGGTTTGTTGTTACTCAGAAATGGAAAATTCACACGAGGGGTTGAAAAAAATGTTGGGTATACACAATGAACATGCTCAATAAATCTCACGTTATCTGAATACAAAATGTCTTTTCGAAAAATGGGAATGAATGACTGCATTTGCTTTGTGACCGGTTTTACTAACCTCTTCATTCAATTCAGCCTTGTGCGAAAGTCGTCAACAAAGAGAGAAGCGCAATTTGCTTAGTGTGGTCGTGGCCATGACTCTATAAAACGAAACGTTTCTTGTGTAATATGAAGTTTGTGTGTTCCACGCTCATAAGTGTTCCTCCGAGTCTCATCGTTGTTATAATATATTTACTTATTTGAGAACATGATATTACTTATGTATTTGGATTGGCTAAGATTTACATGTCGGGAGTCTTCGATGATGCGAAAGGTGTTTACCCTTCCAGAACGCCTGGTCTTATTTTTGTTCGTTTTGTGTGGATATTTCTTTTCTTCTTATTTGTCATTGTTTCATTGATTCAGAGTTTGGTGTTCCTGTTCTGGCAGTATTTTTCTGTTGTTGACCCCGTGAGTATGTAAATAGTCGTTCAAATATCTTGCTACCAACATGTGGACACAGTCATTAACCAAACTCAAATTCTATAAATCAAGGGCAAAGTATAACCAAACATGGAGATTCCTAAAAAAAAGCGTACAAGGAGAATAAGACAAGGTGTTCAGGAAGAACAAGCGCCTTTCCCTTTCAGTGCCCCCCAGTCAGATTCATAGCCTTAAACTTGTACCGCTGTTCACTTTTCTTTGGAAAGAGAACTCTTATACCCAGAGACTGTGATCAAAGAATAATTAGCTAGTATTTTGTCTTTAGATGGATTGGATAATCGAGAAAGACTCTTAAATAAGTGTTTCCAAAGACGTCAAATGGTGTCAAAGTTTTGCATGCCTTAGCTGCAGAGACCATCACATATTATGCAGTTTATTAAATGTGGTCTTGCCATCAGGATCAAGGAATCCAGGTTGATTTGTGTTATATTTCAAGTTGATAATTCGTTCAAAAATGGTATACCCGAAAGGATTTAATCCACTCTGAAAGTAACTACATCGGAACTAGTGTTGCCCATCATCTACCATATTTACAGTGTAGTTCTTCAAGGTGTCCACAAGCATCTGAAGTGAAGTATTGCGCGTATAAAGCCAGACCGCTGTACTCTTGCGGTAAACAATGTGAAAACGCTTTTACGGTTGTTCAAATTTCTGAATTTTGTGAATCTATTTTGTTTAAACTAAAGATCTCAAAGCAAAATAGGAAAGGAAATGTAAATATGTAAAATATCTCACAAAAATGTAGAAAAAAAGATGACGTATTGCGGAACTATTTTCTGTTTTCTTCCTTTTGTTAACATACAAATGTACTTTCCTGCAAAAATGTAAATAAAACAAATAAAATTTTTGTTGTTTACTGGTGTAGGAACTGTAATTTTAAACAGGTATTTCAACATGAAGCGGAAACGCGCATCGTTTAAAATATCTAAAAAATGCAAATTACACACCAGTAAACAACAAAAAAGAAAACTACCTTACGTTAACTCTTAAAATAACGGTAAGGCTATCTAACGTAAGAATAATATTAAATAAAAAATATCTTACGTTTGTGCGCACTTCACGTGATTTTAACATTGAAAACACTTCGTTAGAATAACGTTATTTTTACATTATTTAACGTTATCAAAAACGAGAGAACAAAAAAAAAACATTGTTGGAGACTGCTATTTGAGGTAAGTTTGGATGACTAAAATCAATTTCTATATAACAAGTCCACGTATTTCATTAAAGTTCACACATTTTAAGATAATAAAAAGTATATCATTCAAATTCATATATACTGAAATGTCTAAGACTTACGTGACACTATATCTACAAGTACTTAATACTTGATTTTATAAAATAATGATCACAAATCAATTAATAAAAACAAAGATCCGAACCCGTTAGGTCGCCCGTGTAGTAAACAGAACAGTTGAAATTTAGCTGTGTAAATACTGTTTGTTTGTAAAGTAAATAGTAAAATCCGAATAACACAGCAGTAATGTAAATAAAATTTCTTTTCTGACGACATCAGGTTTAGATGATTCATCATGCAATAATCTTTATTATTGACCATGGTTAATTTTGAAGTTGTTAATGTTTTCACAGTACCATGATATTTGTATAAATATATTGATTTATTCTACAAATAAACGAAATTAATAATAATAAAACAGTCGCCAGACCGTATGTAGGATTTACATTATTTCACAGTTCGTGCTTGCTTGATGTTATTTGTTGACTTTTGTTTAACTTGTGTGTTCTGTCGTAATAATGGCTCTTCTGTACTAACGTTTCATGTTATCATTGTATGTGACCAAAAAATAAAAAGACTTTTTTTGTATCTTGTATCTTATATGTTGTATTTTGGTGGTTATGGTAAAATTTTCTTCGCCTTGCCTTCTGACAAGCATAAGTTCCAATAAGCTATGTATTAGCACAAAAAAGTTATAAAAAAACCCGTGAAATCTTAATTAATCAATACATCTTCCATGGGGTATGACAGTACAACACGAGGTCGCTGTTTTAGTTCTCGTTAACATACGCATTGCTATAATAATCCGTCGGTCCAGTTCAGTCACAGTCAGGTGATAGAATCGTGACGGGGACGGGCCAAAGTTACTCTGAAATACAAAGTTTTTTCCTCAGAAAATTTACATATAATATATATCTTTACAAGATTACCAACAGTACTAAATTAGCATAAATCATTTCAGGCATATTCATTAAACTTTAGGTTTTTGGAGCTAGAATTTAATTTAATAATATAATCTTTAAATGAATGATCCCTACCGGATGTGACGTCATTCTTATTCACACTTTGCCTCTGTTTACTTCCTGACATCGGTGAAAATCAGTTTCGTTTCTGTTTCTCTTCAAACAATCATCAACAATGAACCGACTTTTCGGAAAAGGCAAGGATAAAGCCCCACCACCAAATCTTACCGACTGTGTGGCTAATGTAAGTGATCGTAGAACGTGTTTTTATTCAAGTGTTTTATATATGTGGGTGACACAGGTGAGTTGAACAGCCAGTCTCGTGTCGCAATTTCATATACATACACCTGTGTACAACATGGTGCCAGTCTTTTCAGTTTAGACAAATGAACAAAATGTTGTTGCTTTATAACAAAATGTGTATAACTGTATGTTTCTATCTAAACAGACAATGTTTGTACGCAAGCCTTGGATTTGTCTATGTCTACGATCATATTGATCATAGCAGGTAGGCAACTCATTCTCGTGATTATTTAGAAACCTCTGCAGTGTTGGCTATTTATACTGTATCAGTGTTTATGGGATATCGATGAAATATACAATATAGTTTATACATGTGTAAAGACAATAGAAATGTATGTTCCGGATCTTCTAGATTTGTCGGAACCAAGGAAACTTTAGTTTAAAGAGTACTCTTTCTCAAGGAACTAAAATTCTGTACCCGAGGATGGCTATTTTCTCCCACTTCTGAATAAAAAACAAGATATCGTGATGTTTATCCAAATTTTAAAGCATTTGCAGTGTGCATTAGCTTTTGTATTGACTAGTTATGTGATGCCATTTGTTGTATACTCGTACATAGTAGGGAGACATGAAGATGAACATTAGTTGTCAAACGATATGACATTGAAATATGTTACATCATCATGTGATTGAATGTCATGTTTAAATTCAGGTCACTAGGTGTACCATATGTATAACATATCCTTCAAATTTGAAAAAAAAATTATTACCATTAACATTAATGGAGCAGTTAGGACTGAATTGAATCTTGTTCAAGAGGTTTTGTATCCACATTAACACATTACACTTACACAGTGTATATAATCTAATATCATCACTATCATTAGGCCCTCAAAAGGTACTGGGTTGTTGAATCTATGGGACATGATGAGTCCTCCATACCCATAAAATAGGATTTGAGATTATTATAGAATTTTTATGCATGGCATTTGTTACAGCTAGAAGAAGTAATTACATTTCAACAACTGTTTCAATAGAATAAAATATCAAATCACCCGACAACCATTGTTCATCTGTCCCGCGCCTTTCCATACGTCCATAAACATTTTCATTATCACTATTTCTTGAGAAGTACTGGATGGATCTTTTCCAAATTTCATATGTAGGTTTCCCTTGGTCCCTAGTTGTGCCCCTTTGATTTTGGGAGTGATCACAAAAACAGAATAACTGCAAGAGGACATCTTTGATTTTTTCATTGAAGTTTGTCATTGCTTTTTTTTGAGAAGTACTACAAACATCTTTCTCAAATTTCATGTGTAGGTTCCCCTTGATCCCTAGTGATGCCTGTTTGACTTTGGGACTGATCAGAAAATCAAAATGGCCGACAGACAGCCATCTTGGAATATGACTTTGAAAGTTTGGTATCGCTATTTTTTTGTATAACTACTACATAGATCTTACTCACGTCTCATGTGTAGAATCCCCTTGATCCCTAGATGTGCCCAGTGTTAAATTGTGTGTATGTTAACATTGTAGATCATCTTCTGTCTTTCAGGAGGATATAATCTGGCACCTAATTAGAACAAGTTTAATTGTTTTCATTTGATTTGTTTCAAGATTGACAGTCGAGGAGAGTCTATAGACAAAAAGGTAGCCAGACTTGACGCAGAATTGAATAAATATAGAAATCAGATGAAAAAGATGAGAGATGGCCCCTCCAAGGTGAGTAAATATAGGTCTGGTTACTTATTTACACGAGATGTGAGATCTATGTTAGGTGACAAGTTTTAAACAAAAGAGCAGGTTATTTGAATTTTTTTAAGCATTTAATTGTACTACATGTAAATTTGATATACTAGTACTAAAAATGATCAAAAGCAGACAGATTTCACCAATACCAAGATGCCAGAGAGAACACTGATATAAGTTTTTAATAGTTGTTTTTTTAAGGTACAAGCTTGATCTCTTTGATTTCGACATTGGTCTTGGTAATATGGTATGTAAAATACAGATTTATACATGAAGGATTATGACAGTAGCAGATATATACTCTAAATATCTGGATTAGAGAAAAAGGAAGTAGTTTGTTATATTCAATCATTTTCTTACAGAATATGGTCAAACAGAAAGCTATGCGAGTGTTGAAACAAAAGAAGATGTAAGTAAATATATAAGCACTATTGTTCTACTTAGTGTAAGGAATACCAACTCACCAGGTACAGTAATTCTGTTTCCAAAGGTTTTCAAAACAGCTTCCAGTTATAATTTTCTCAGTATTCCACATTTGATTAAAATTTTAAAAAGAAAAAGAACAAGTATAGTAGCTCATGTCAAAAAATAAATTATGTTAGGTGAGAATTGCTATACCACATAGAAAATTAGTAGAAAGATCATTACCAAAAGATTTATTATAAAATATAACCTGTTGATATGCTTATTTTTCTGCAGGTATGAAAATCAAAGAGACAATTTAATGCAACAAAGTTTCAACATTGAACAGCAAAACTATGCTATACAGTCACTGAAAGATACAAAAACAACGGTAAGTACTGCAGATGTTTGACATAAATAACAGTAAGTATTGCAGATGTTTGACATAACCAACAGTAAGTACTGCAGATGTTTGACATAAACAACAGTAAGTATTGCAGATGTTTGACATAAATAACAGTAAGTATTGCAGATGTTTGACAAAACCAACAGTAAGTACTGCAGATGTTTGACATAAATAACAGTAAGTATTGCAGATGTTTGACACAAACAACAACTGCAACTGTACATGTTTGACATTTTATAACGTTGAATTTATACACTTTGTTACACCAAGTTAGTATGTCTGAACAAGTTTAGTCATACATTTGGAACATGTACTATGTAATATGAAAGTGTCACTGTTTTTTTATAAATATTTTCAACTTGGTAATTAGTTGGAGAAATACAAAGTACACAGTATACAGCATGGAGAACAGTAGTCTATGCCTGTCCTTTAGACACCAACATACTGATATCTGATTAAATCTTTTGTACTTTCATGTAGTTACAAATTGTTTTTAATCTTTATATTGGGTTTCAAGCTGAGTTGTACATATCTATGCATCGATGCATGCATCATTGAATTAAATTGATCACAACTCGTATTTTATTGAATTTGAAACTGAATTATTCATTATGGACATATTTTGTACAGTCAGACCTGTCTGTAAAGATCACTCAAGGGGGCAGAGAAAATGTGGCCTTTATAACAAGGTCTTTTAATTCAGGTTTGACCAGATATGTAAAGTAACTAAAGGATACCCAGTTTTGACTACCTGTTGAGACTATGTTGATGTCATTTTTCTGAAATTTCTCGTTCTTTGATTTTATTAGGTGGATGCCATGAAGGTTGGGGTGAAACAGTTTAAGAAAGAATACAAGCATGTCAACATTGACAAGATTGAGGTGAGTGGGAGATTTCATTTTCATTTTCAAGTTTGTGTGATCAAATAGTTCATATAAAAATTGTACAATGTTAAACAAATCATAGTTCTTTTATAATTATAGAGCAGCAAACAAAAAGAAAAAAATGAAATATATTTTATATTTTAAAATTTGTTTTCCCATATTTTCCATTAATTGATAATTATAAATACTTGTTAATAAAAACATAAAACATTATGTTTAATGTGGAGGACAGACTCCTGTATCAAATCATTCAGAATATAGTGGTTTATTAAACATTATTCCTGTGATTTTGATGGAAAAAAATACATGTAATCTTATAATTATTACTTGCAGACTTACATGTAAAAATACAAATGTGAAATATGCTTTCTGCTTTGCTTTTAGTGCAGCACCTCAAGTTGCATTAGATATTGGGCAATTTTCAAAAAACTAATGTTGTCATAATGTAAGCAAAATAATCCTGCACTTGTATTAAAAACAAGGCATATGTGGACATTTGCAAAAATTGAATTAACCAATTTTCTCTTGGTTAGGACTTACAAGATGAACTTGAGGACCTTACAGAACAATCCAATGAGATACAAGAGATAATGGGTCGAAGCTATGGAATGCCAGAGGTGGATGACGACGAGTTAGAGGCAGAGTTAGATGCCCTTGGAGACGAAATTGGCCTTGATGAAGACTCTTCATATCTTGACGACGCTGTTTCTGCACCCTCAATACCCACAGCAGAACCTGGAGCCGATAGTTCACGGGTAAGATGGATAGAGATGTCATATTCTATCAACTGTTTATTAAGTAGGAATATTTAACTTTATGTACAATAGATATTATACTGTTATTGAAATGTTATTAATGAACAGTAATTATTTGTCTTCAGAAAATAGTTTTTCTGTACCTTGTGATAAATATATCAGTGTATGTATTGTATCACTTCAATTCCACATGTTAAATGTTACAGGTGGCTCCAACCATCTGACACATTTCCTGTTATTGTGTAAAGCAGTTTACTGTAGACGCTAGAAAGATATTCAGCTCAGAATTATTTGTCAAACATCTAGTCAGGTACATAATCAACTCTAAACACACAGCATCCTGGTAGTGATTTTTTTCAGGTGCCTGGATTGATTCATAGTTATTTGACATTACATCAAAGCTTGTGTGCTGTGATATTTGTTTTTTGTTTATTTCTATTATCTTTGATATTTATTTGTGTTTACATTATTTGTTGTGATTTTGTGTTGTAGGATGTGCCTGTTGATGAGTTTGGATTACCACAAATTCCGCAGACTGCAAAATAATGTACTGAAATATTATGACTATGTTTTACATGTGAATATCATTGTTTCTATAAGAGCTACACTTAAACAATGACGAAGTGTAGTTATGGATAAGTTTTCTCTCCGAATGATGTGAAACCAGTATGCTGAAGGGGAGACAACCCCTGGATGACAGACTAACGTTCATTTTGGAAGGGAAGTAACTCCCTAAAACAGCCTCCTCTTTTTGATTAAGATGAATATTAAAACCTATTTCGTTTTAGAACTAGATTGTAGAAAGATATAGATCATAGCTTTGTCTGGAAGTTGACTCCATAAGTTCTTTTAATCATATGTATAAATTTTTTAATGACAGACATTTTTCTTTAAGAGTGATAATTAAAATTGAATTAACTATATAAGCTTGAAAGTTTTTGGTATGTATCAATAGTGTGCAGCTTGTACACACCGATATGGGAGAGAAGTATATAAGTGTATAGGTAGCTGTTTCATTATTATAGATATTAGGATGTATAAGTGTGAATGTATCCTCAAAGATATATATGTATTACTAAATATCTGTTAAATACTGTTTCAAAATTTTCTGAACTTCTCAAATGTAATAGCTTAATTACTTAGGTTGACATTTTTATTTGTGCTGAAACAAATCTTTATTTTCTCTCTATTCTCTTTTACAAATGTATCATACAGCTTACATGCTTGGCTTGAAAAAATACTAATCGAAAAGCCCTGGTTTCAAATTTGGACAACAGAGTCAAATGATCAAATACACATATGTAGTCCATTTTACTGAGAAATACCAACAAATATGATATTTTGCTAAAAAAAGGGGGAATATTGAGGAATCATGAAAAGGAGACAATGTGCTTATGTTTTAAAGACTTAAAAAGTAGAAAGTAAAAAAATCAGCTGTAAGTAGAAAGTGAAAAAATCAGCTGTAAGTAGAAAGTGAAAAAATCAGCTGTAAGTAGAAAGTGAAAAAATCAGCTGAAAACATCAGCTGTAAGTAGAAAGTGAAAACATCAGCTGTAAGTAGAAAGTGAAAAAATCAGCTGTAAGTAGGAAAGTGAAAAAATCAGCTGTAAGTAGAAAGTGAAAAAATCAGCTGTAAGTAGAAAGTGAAAAAATCAGCAGAAAAAAATCAGCTGTAAGTAGGAAAGTGAAAAAATCAGCTGTAAGTAGAAAGTGAAAAAATCAGCTGTAAGTAGAAAGTGAAAAAATCAGCTGTAAGTAGAAAGTGAAAAAATCAGCTGTAAGTAGGAAGTGAAAAAATCAGCTGTAAGTAGAAAGTGAAAAAATCAGCTGTAAGTAGAAAGTGAAAAAATCAGCTGTAAGTAGAAAGTGAAAACATCTGCTGTAAGTAGAAGTTTCTCAGATTTATCAGCATGTGTGGTCTCATGAATGGTGGATAGCTATCACACAGGTACTGGTAAATTAGGTTTTCATCACTGTCACATAATGATGTCTAGTTAAAGTGATATTATAAGTGATTCAAGGAAAAAAAATAATCCTATCAAATATCACTCATCTGTAACTTCGGATAAGTCACGATACTAAAATGAAATGTTTTTTGGGAAAAAGATGGAAATTAAGTTTATATAAGACTTGTGTATTATAATTTATTATTGATGTCTTTTGGCACCACAATAACATGTAGTAATTATGAAGATTATTTGTTGATTACTTGATCATTAATCTATCAATGGACAATTTTTCAAGTATTAAAGCTACATTAAAAAAAAAACATGTTTTTTTCTTTTTATTTGTCACTCGACAAGTAATAATTAAGATAAATAGACCATGAGTAAGTGAAGTAAAAGTAATAGTAATAATTGGAGAGAAACTGTTCATATATCTTAACATGTGTTTGTGCAGATGTTTAAGAACACTAAACAATTATTTTTATATATCATTAAGTTTAAACATCTAACACGGGTGTTTTAATTAAGTTAATAATCCGTGAAGGTCAGGATGTGCCTTAGGAAGAGTTGTCTTTCTTCGTTTGTTCAATGCCTGCTTCGGTTGTAAACTTCAGTCCAGCCTAATGCTTATGAAGAAAAGCATGTGAACATTTTCAAGGGTTAAAAATGAACTAAATTAACTTCCAAAAAGACCGGATGTAATACATTACATCCACTTATTAGATATTACAGAGATAAAGTTTTACAACGGTTGTGAAACAAGTTATCCAGCTTATCACGCTTGTTGGTCTGAATTGAAGTACGTGAGGGGCCTACTGTGAAAGGAAACTGGAGTATCAGGGGAGAACTCATATGGTCGAACAGGTGAACCCATACTTTTATATCCATTTCACGTAATTAAATTACTTATCGCTCATTTGTTTCTTTGGTTAATCCTCTTACAATCCAGACAGAATTGACTTCTCTTGGAAAATTTATTACTTCTGTTTTAATTTACTCCTGAAGTGATTCTTATGTAATTAAAGATAATGACATGTTACAGCTTAATTCGCCAGAAAATGAAATCCATTAGAGATCTCTCTAACGATGTATTACCTGCACATATTACACAAGAAGGGTAATATACCGAGAAATCAAACTGTTTCCTTTATAAGTACATGCATGTATTAGATGTGTATGAAGATTAGTCTTGTATGACTTAATTAATGTAGATACTACAAACAGTCATCGTGTTCAACTTTAGTAATGTAGACAGTAAAAGGGGACAGTCGTGATGTACAACTTTAGTAATGTACACAGTCGTGATGTACAACTTTAGTAATGTACACAGTCGTGATGTACAACTTTAGTAATGTAGACAGTAAAAGGGGACAGTCGTGATGTACAGCTTTTGTATTGTAGACAGTAAAAAGGGGACAGTCGTGATGTATAGATTTAGTAATGTAGACAGTCGTGATGTACAGATTTAGTAATGTAGAAAGTCGTGATGTACAGCTTTGGTGATGTAGACAGTCGTGATGTACAGCCTTAGTAATGTAGACAGTCGTGATGTACAGATTTAGTAATGTACACAGTCGTGATGAGCTTTAGTAATGTAGACAGTCGTGATGAGCTTTAGTAATGTAGACGGTCATGATGTACAGATTTAGTGATGTACACAGTCGTGATGTACAGATTTAGTGATGTAGACAGTCGTGATGTACAGCTTTAGTAATGTAGATAGTCGTGATGTACAGATTTAGTAATGTAGACAGTCGTGATGTACATATTTAGTAATGTAGACAGTCGTGATGTACAGATTTAGTAATGTAGACAGTCGTGATGTACAGATTTAGTAATGTAGACAGTCGTGATGTACAGATTTAGTAATGTAGACAGTCGTGATGTAGAGCTTTAGTAATGTAGACAGTCGTGATGTACAGCTTTAGTAATGTAGACAGTCGTGATGTAGAGCTTTAGTAATGTAGACAGTCGTGATGTACAGCTTTAGTAATGTAGACAGTCGTGATGTACAGCTTTAGTAATGTAGACAGTCGTGATGTAGAGCTTTAGTAATGTAGACAGTCGTGATGTACAGCTTTAGTAATGTAGACAGTCGTGATGTACAGATTTAGTAATGTAGATTTAGTAATGTAGACAGTCGAGATGTACAGATTTAGTAATGTAGACAGTCGTGATGTACAGATTTAGTAATGTAGACAGTCGTGATGTACAGCTTTAGTAATGTAGACAGTCGTGATGTCGTTTAGTAATGTAGATGTACAGATTTAGTAATGTAGACAGTCGTGATGTACAGCTTTAGTAATGTAGACAGTCGTGATGTACAGATTTTTAGTAATGTAGATTTACATGTAGACAGTCGTGATGTACAGATTTAGTAATGTAGACAGTCGTGATGTACAGATTTAGTAATGTAGACAGTCGTGATGTACAGATTTAGTAATGTAGACAGTCGTGATGTACAGATTTAGTAATGTAGACAGTCGTGATGTACAGATTTAGTAATGTACACAGTCGTGATGTACAGATTTAGTAATGTAGACAGTCGTGATGTACAGATTTAGTAATGTAGACAGTCGTGATGTACAGATTTAGTAATGTAGACAGATTTAGTAATGTAGACGGTCATGATGTACAGATTTAGTAATGTACACAGTCGTGATGTACAGATTTAGTAATGTAGACAGTCGAGATGTACAGATTTAGTAATGTAGACAGTCGTGATGTACAGATTTAGTAATGTAGACAGTCGTGATGTAGAGCTTTAGTAATGTAGACAGTCGTGATGTACATATTTAGTAATGTAGACAGTCGTGATGTACAGATTTAGTAATGTACACAGTCGTGATGTGCAGTAATGTAGACAGTCGTGATGTAATTTAGTAATGTAGACAGTCGTGATGTACAGATTTAGTAATGTTAGTAATGTAGACAGTCGTGATGAGCTTTAGTAATGTAGACAGTCGTGATGTACAGATTTAGTAATGTACACAGTCGTGATATACAGATTTAGTAATGTAGACAGACGTGATGTAAAGCTTTAGTAATGTAGACAGTCGTGATGTACAGATAATGTAGACAGTCGTGATGTACAGATTTAGTACAGTGACTGATGTACAGCTTTTAATGTAGTAATGTAGACAGTCGTGATGTACAGATTTAGTACAGTCGTGATGTACAGATTTAGTAATGTAGACTCGTGATGTACAGATTTAGTAATGTAGACAGTCGTGATGTACAGCTTTAGTAATGTACACAGTCGTGATGTACAGATTTAGTAATGTACACAGTCGTGATGTACAGATTTAGTAATGTAGACAGTCGTGATGTACAGATTTAGTAATGTAGACAGTCGTGATGTACAGCTTTAGTAATGTAGACAGTCGTGATGTACAGATTTAGTAATGTAGACAGTCGTGATGTACAGATTTAGTAATGTAGACAGTCGTGATGTACAGCTTTAGTAATGTACACAGTCGTGATGTACAGATTTAGTAATGTAGACAGTCGTGATGTACAGCTTTAGTAATGTAGACAGTCGTGATGTACAGATTTAGTAATGTAGACAGTCGTGATGTACAGATTTAGTAATGTAGACAGTCGTGATGTACAGATTTAGTAATGTACACAGTCGTGATGTAGAGCTTTAGTAATGTAGACAGTCGTGATGTACAGATTTAGTAATGTACACAGTCGTGATGTACAGATTTAGTAATGTACACAGACGTGATGTACAGATTTAGTAATGTAGACACTCGTGATGTACAGCTTTAGTAATGTAGACAATCGTGATGTACAGATTTAGTAATGTAGACAGTCGTGATGTACAGATTTAGTAATGTACATGTATTTAGTAATGTAGTGATGTACAGTGGTGATGTACAGATTTAGTAATGTAGGCAGTCGTGATGTACAGATTTAGTAATGTAGACAGTCGTGATGTACAGATTTAGAAATGTAGACAGCCGTGATGTACAGAT